CCATCCACAGGTCTGCGATCCGGTTCCCGGAGTCGGCGTCGATGGTCGTGCCGGTGCTAATGGACTTCCTCGGCGACGCCAACCAGTCGTCGGCAGTCGAGGTGATCCTCTTTGTGCGCGAGATCCTCGAGACCTTCCCGCACCTGCGCGAGTCGGTGATGAAGAAGCTGCTCGAGACCTTCCCAACCATCCACTCGTCGCGCGTCGCGCGCGTCGCCCTCTGGCTCATCGGCGAGTTTTGCGTCGCGGGCGAAGACGTCGCCGCCGGCTTCACCACGCTCAAGGCGTCGCTCGGCGAGCCCCCCTTTGTGCCGCCCGCGGAGGACGAGGCCGCCTCCAACGGCCCCGCAGCCGCGCCGCGCCCGGAGGGGAGACCAGTGGTGCTGGCGGACGGCACCTACGCGTCGGTCGTCGCGGCGGACGAGGCGGTGGGCGGCGACGACGGCACGCAGAGGCTGCGCGGCCTGCTGCTGGGCGGCGACTTTTTCCTCGCCACGGTGGTGGCCACCACGCTGACCAAGCTCGCGCTCCGCTCGCGCGAGCACCTGCCGACGCGGGCGGCCAACATGGTCGCCGCCGACGTGATGCTCATCCTGACCGGGCTGCTGCAGCTCGGCAAGGCGGGCGGGGCGGGCGCGACGATCGACGCGGACTCGCAGGAGCGGCTGCAGACGTACCTGCACCTGCTATCGAGCCCGGGGGAGGAGGTGCAGGCCCTCTGCTTGGTCCACTGCCGCGAGGTCTTCTCGGCGATGCTGCGCGAGCGCGCGGGCCAGGAGGAGGCGGAGAAGCCGGCAAAGGACGTCGCGCCAGAGGTGCACCGGCAAGCCGACGACCTGATCTCGGTGCGGCAGCTCAAGGGGGGCAAGTCCGACACCGCGGCGCTCGAGCTGGACGACGACGACGACCCCGTCTCCTCCGCCGCGGGCGCCTTCACCGGCGAGCTCGACTTCGCCGCGCGTCTCAAGCGCGTGACGCAGCTCACCGGCCTCTCCGACCCGGTCTACGCCGAGGCGTACGTGCTGGTGCACTCGTACGACATCATGCTGGACGTGCTCGTCATCAACCAGACGCAGGAGCCGATGACCAACCTCTGCCTCGAGCTCGCCACCGTGGGCGACCTCAAGCTCTGCGAGAGGCCGACCGCTTACACGCTGGCGCCGGGCGAGTCCAAGCACATCAAGGCAAACATCAAGGTTTCGTCCACCGAGACGGGCATCGTGTTCGGCTCGATCGTGTACGACGCGCACGGCTCGACGCCGCCGGGCGGCGGCGAGAACCGCAACTGCGTGGTGCTCAACGACCTCCACATCGACATCATGGACTACATCGCGCCGGCGTCGTGCTCCGACCTCGCCTTCCGCGCGATGTGGGCCGAGTTTGAGTGGGAGAACAAGGTTGCGGTCAACACGGACATCACCGAGGTGAAGGAGTTCCTCGAGCACGTGATGAAGAGCACAAACATGCGCTGCCTCACCCCGCCCGCCGCGCTCGAGGGCGAGTCGGGCTTCCTCGCCGCCAACCTCTACGCAAAGTCCATCTTTGGCGAGGACGCGCTCGTC